GGGGGGGAAACAAACTCAAAACGACACAAGAGTCAATATATGGCATGGAAAGGCACCTGGTTAGTTGATCAATGAACCCCACACGGTAAGTCTCAGGTGTCGCGACCTCCCTCCGCACACGCAGACAGCCCTGAGAGGCGTTGTATGAGGAAGCGCTCCGCACAAACACTCCTCTCTTCTTCACAATGACCAAAGTAGTCACAATAATGCACAGAGGACTTTTTTTTTTTTTACTTTCCTTTGTTTTTCAAAAAAAAGGAAAGGAGGGTTTTGGGGGGGATTTATTATATAAAATTGCTAGTTTGACATACTCAACACAGATTAGAACAAACGTCTTACAAAAACCCGAAATTTCGAAAGGACAAAAAATCAAAGCAATCAGTGTTCTTTTAAACCCCTCTTCCCTGCAAAACATTTCGTAAGAACAATAAAGTGATCGTACAGTGTAAAAAGCTATAAAAATCAGAACCCTTGGATCCCTGTCTTCACATTACATGCCACAAAATAGGGCATAAGCCACACAAAATAACACTCAGGGAGGGAACAGAGAGTGGGTGCCGAAACAAAATAAAAACCCAAACACGGGATCTTATACAGAACTCTTTGGCTTCACATTAAAGAATAAATACTCACAAAATTTTTGGAACGGTAGCCTCTTCGATATAAAAAAAGATCTAAAAAAAATTAAAAACCCAACGACACAATGCCAGCCAGGTGTCGTGTGTTTAAAACAAGGAGGCGAGTGACAGGGAAAGGGTCTAAAAAAGAAATAATTTTAAAACTGACCACCGACGGGCCGTGGAGAGCTGAGCCTTTTAAGTACTTGTGCAAGACTTTTCCTTCTAGAATCTTCTTCTTCCACCCACATTCCCCCCCGACTTTTTTTCGTGCTGATCACTACAGAGGTACCGACAAGCTGCGAAAAAAATCCTGAACTTTCCAGACCCCCTTGGCAGGCTAGCAGGGACTCAAAATCAAAGGATCATGTTGTCCAATAGATCTTGGATCAAGAAGAATATGTTTACATAAAGTGCAAAATCCACACAATTTTCTTAAAATCCGGATTTCCGGATAAATCTGGGGAAACCGGCACCTCTGTCACGATTTTTGTTTCCATTTTCCTCGCAGCCGTCCACTTGTCGAGGACACAGACCCACTACTCCTGGCCTGGCAGAAACAACAAGCCTTCCTGCACCGGAGAGAAAGCCTAATGTGCCACGTTTTCCGTGTCAGTTTGGTGAGTGCTTGACGGCACTCGCAACTGCATAAGGTCATCCGAGTTCTCGGTAAATAATAGGGACAAAAACGGGTGGGGGAAGGGATTTGTTTTGGGGGGGGAGAGAAGACCTCAGGGACTTCTTGGAGAGGCATGTCAGCTGATGGAACGGTGGGTTCAAGGTACACAGGGAGGCGGGGTTGATTAACCCTTTCCTTCCTACTCAAAACATAACTGCCTTCATTTCCCCTCAGATTTGGAAACAGAGGCAGGCACGAAATCCGTCAATATGATAGCGTTAAACTGTTGGAGAGTTTGATCATGAATATGTGAGTATGTGTGTGTGTGTGTGTCTGCGGGAGTGAGTGTGTGTATGCCTTTGTGCATTTTGATTTATGAGATGGGATAGAGATATAAAGAGGAAGAGAGAGGGAGGGGTGGAGAGTGGGGTGTGTGTGAGAGATAGGG